CCTCAGCCTCCTGTGTAGCTGGGATTATAGGCATGCATCACCATAGCTGGCTTGATTATACTATATATTTAATTTTTCACAGTTAAGAATCATAAGAAATCAACAAATAGGTATCTTTTGGCTAAGAAAAGAGATTTAATTCAGCCTTCTCTGAAATTCCAGATCAATAGTTATATACTAAGTTTATAACAAAGTAGTATACTTCTTAGAATAAAAACAATATTCTAAATGAAAACAAACATTTATGTTCGCTATGATAGGTGTAGCTATAATTAGTTACACTATACCACAAGCTAATAAGTCACCAACTTGGGTTGTAGAGAAGTGAACTAAATTTAGGCGGCTAGGGTTGCGGCTCCGTGGTAGAGCGCTTGCCTAGCACCTGTGAGGCACTGGTTCAATTTTTAGCACCATATAAAAATAAATAAAGGTATTGTGCTCATCCACAACTAAAAAAAAACTTCTTTAAAAAATTTTTTTGATTGAATGAGTCATAATGAAACATTTCAAAATAACTGAAAAGGAGGAGTTAGGGCTTAAATATCAGATATAAACAAAATGCATTAAAATTAGTTTATCTAAAGTTAAAGTAGAGAAAAAGAATAGAAAGGAGATTTTGTTGATGAGCAGAGTCCTAATAGAGGAAGAACACATGACATTATCTGTTAGAGTTCAACATCTCTCTCCAAAGACAGTAAGGAATCGTTCCAGGATTAGGTTCCCTAAATGATATAAGAGAAATTTAGGACAAACTTCATAATCTTACATAGGATACCTGTTAACATTTACTATGTACTAATACTGGAAGTTGTAATCAGAGATTTTATAGACAAGGCCACAAATAAATACAATATGTTAAATAACAATGCTACTCAGTTAATACAGACCAACATTGTCTACAATGTTAACTCAGTTTTTTGAAATATTTGCTTTCTATTGAAGCTTTGTTAACATAATATTAACTAAATTATTTCAGTTATCAACTGTATCAGCTCACTAATACACAGTTTCAGTGCAAATAAAGAAGAGTACCGTATTAATATTCAAAGTTAAATGTAAATACACTAAGCATGTAAGATCTGAGCATTTTATTGTAGATTAATTATGCAAACATGCAATGTGTTTTCTTTCTTCGTTGTCTTTTTTGTTTGTTTCTCTTTAGAGATTGACCTACGTGCACTCTACCACTGAGCTACATCCCTAGTTCTCTTTTTTTTTTATTTAGAGACAGAGTCTCTCTAAGTTGCCCAGGTTGGCCTCGAACTTGTGATCCTCCTGCCTCAGGACTCCCCCTACACCACTCCACTGCCAAGTTGCTGTGATTGCAGGCTTGTGTCACCACACCTGGCCATACAATGTGTTTTCTAATGTCAATTAAAAATTTAAGTAGCACCAGGCATGGTAGCACACACCTATAATACAGATACTTGAGAACCTGATGCAGGAGGATCTCAAGTTTGAGGCCAGCCTAAGAAACTTAATGAAACTCTGTCTCAAAAAATAAAAAATAAAAAGGGCTGGATATATGTAGCTCACTGGTAGAATGCCCCTGGATCCAATCCCTAGTACCATGATGATGGTAACAACAACAAAAAAAGTTATTATTGTTATTACTAAACATAGCAAGACTTCAATTATGAGTAATGAAAAAAGAAGCATTGATAAAATGGATTCCCATAGCCAAAGTATAAACTGTTAAAAACCAAACCTTTATTTTATTTTTTGTTCCTAGAAGGTGTTACACGCTTTCCTGCATTAGTAAACACTATAATACACAAGAGCTACTAATTTTGAAGGGTGTCTTTGTGTACAAAGGATCATACTAAGCTCTTTAGCTTCATTTACTCACATTAATTTTAAATTCTATTTTATGTGATGAAGAAACCAAGGCCAAAATATTCAAGAAACTTGCCATGATCATGTTCCAAGTCTTGTTCAACCCCAGATCTGACAAATTCTAAAGTCCATCCTACATGTCACAATGCTGTGCTGTCCTGATGACTAAGAACCATCATTTGGAACCTCTCTCTAGAGTCACATTAAGATGTTTGGGGCCATCTGGCCTTATCTAAAATGGCAGTTCCAGAAGGCTGTGTCACTCTACCCGTGATTCTTTTGCCTCCTAGCCTGCTGTCTGATATTACTTCTCTGTATGTTTGCTTTTTGCAACCTTCATCATCCCATTCACAACACCAAACCCAAACTGCTTTTAACTTAATATCTATCATAACAGAAAAGAAGTTTAAAGTTACCAAGAAAAAGATCTTATCAAACTGGCGATTGTGTTTATAAAACAGTTCTTTCACACTAATATTACAGACTGAGTCACAGAAAACAAAACTACTAAAAAGAACAGAGTTGTAATTTTTAGAGCTACATGGTGCACTCTCAGAGGGAAAGATAGATGGAGAGGAAGAAGTGATTACAGAACTCTGGGGATTGCAAATAAAGGGTACTATCACATTAATATTCAAAATTAAATGTAAATGACCAAGCATGTAAGATCTGTGCACTTTATTGTAGATTAACTGTGCAATTACACGCAAAGTGTTTTCTTTCTTCATCGTCTTTTTTTCCTTTTTTCTCCTAGCATTAGGGATTGACCAGGGGCACTCTACTACTGAGCTACATCCCCAGCCCTTTTTATTTAGTTTTTTTATATACAATGTCTCTATTTTATGTATTTATTTTTTTTAATATTTATTTTTATTTTTTTAGTTTTCAGCAGACACAACATCTTTTTTGTATGTGGTGCAGAGGATCGAACCTGGGCTGCACGAATGCCAGGCAAGCGCGCTATCACTTGAGCCACATCCCCAGCCCACATCCCCAGCTCTTTTAATTTTTTATTTTGAGACAGAGTCTCACTAGGTTGCCCAAGTTGGCCTTGAATTTGTGATCCTTCTGCCTTAGACCCCTTACCACATCCTGGGATTACAGGAGTGCACCATTGCATCCTGCTTCATAATCCTAAATTCATTTTGTGCTTTTTACTTTGATTCAAAAGAAAAATGTGAGTCTTCTTACTTCCTTGATTAATCAAAGCATAAGCTCTGTTTTATTTAACCACTTTTTCTCTTTTCTAATTCATTACTTGCTATCTTCATTAATTCTTGCTATCTTTATTAATTGCTTTTTTTACCTTACATTTATTTTGTTGTTCTTTTATTAAATTCTTCAGCTGAATATTTAACTTATTTTCATTGTTTTACTAAAGAAATTATTAGGAAAATTTCATTCATGACCTACATTATTTATATATTTTATGTATTTAATTTTTATTGTAATTACTTTCTAACAAGACTGCAACTATCAGTTTATAATATCTTCAGAACTTTGATGTAAGCTTTTTTTTTTTTTTTTTGAGACAGGGTCTGAGTTAATTAGGCCTTCACTAAGTTGCTGAAGTTGGCTTTGAGTTACATGAGTTTTTTTTTTTTTTAAGGAGAATATTTTTACATTTTTTCAACTCAAGAAACTGAGGTTTTTGTTTTAATGTTTGGAAAGACTTTATGGTTTACTTTCCAACTCTTGCTTTTGCTATTAATGTAAAATTTCTTTGTAGAATATGTGGTAAATAATATACCTACTTATAAAGATTTTTTTTCAAGCAGAGAATGGTAACATGTACCTGTAATCCCAGGTACTCAGGAGTGTGAGGCAGGAGTATTGCAAGTTTAAGACATGCCTAGGCAATTAGTAAGACTGTGTCTCAAAATTAAAGAAAAAAAAAGAGGGTGTTATAGATCAGTGGTAGAGTGCTTCCCTAACATGTGCAAGGCCTTCTCCATCCCACCCCAACAGCATGACAGATTCTAACAGGAATAGGAGCTGCATTGGATAAGGTGAAGGAAGATTCTCCACAAGATGAGACATACTAAGATTTAAATAATAAAAAGAAATTGTCCAAATAAATGAGTGTGAGAAAGACTATTTCAGGCAGAAAGTAGGTACCATGTGCGCCAAGGAGGCAAAAAAACGTGACATATTGTAGAAACTGAAAATAAGGCTGGAGAATATTGAATGAGAGGCAATAACTAACTGAGAGGTAGGTGGGCCAGAGGTAAAACTTTATGGGTCATGTTAAAGAACCTGGACTTTATTCTAAATACAACAGGTACCCTGAAATACTTTTAAAGAGGAAAGTGACTTCCATTATTTTTCTATTTTTAAAATGTTGTGTAGAGAATAAACTGAAGGATGACACATATAAAACTGGGAATGGGAGAGTAGTACACTATTAGAGTAGTCCAGATGAGAAATGATGGTTGTTTGGAGTGGGTGACAAATAATAAATGGGCTGAAGCAAATAGATCCAATGATTTTAATCAAAGTGTTACTATTCAGTCTAGCTCTTCTAAAACTCAATTGTTATGAAGTTTACTTGTAGTTCTAAAGTTACTTTTACACACAGAACAATTTTTATATAATAAAGACATAAAGACATCTGCTCATTTACATAAATTTATTTATTCAGTAAATATTTACTAAGTATATAATTATTGACAAATAATGATCTGGGAATGGGTGCATAGCAAAAAAACAAAAAAAACAACAACAACAAAAAAAACAAACCCTAGCCCTATAAAGCTCACAAGTTATGAAACAAAACAAAGCTAAGCCTTCTTATATATCGGATTATGTCCTACAATAATATTCTAAATCAGTAATATAAAATTTTTTTGGTGTTAAGTAGTCATTAATTCACTTAATAAATATTTACTAAATGTCATCTATGTTCCAGGCCTCATGCTACAGGTATAGAGAAATATCCCTTTATGGAAGCATACGTGTTAGTAAAATAAATAAATAAAGGTAAATGCACACACATATTAGGTAGTAACAGAAGAAAAATAAGGCAGGAAATGAGAATCAAGTGTTACACAGAAATGCTATTTTTCTATAAGGAAACAAACAAAGACCTTCTGAAAAGATTACACTTTAGCAGAATCTTGAATGAAGTGAGGTAATAATTCATGCAGGAACCTGGATGTGAAACAGTGCAGGGAAGCAAGACCAATCTAAAAGCCCTGAGGCAAGAGGACTGCATATTCAAGCTACACTAAGATGACAAACTGAACTGCAGTGAGAGAAAAAAATGGTAGAAATGTTTTTTTTTAAACATGTAGTTGATTTAATAAGGGATGGATGATATTTACAAATTTTATTTTATTTTTATTTTTTTAGAGAGAGAGAGTGAGAGAGAGAGGGGGACAGAGAGAGAGAGAATTTTAACATTTATTTATTTTTTCTTAGTTCTCGGCGGACACAACATCTTTGTTTGTATGTGGTGCTGAGGATCAAACCCGGGCCGCACACACGCTAGGCGAGCGTGCTACCGCTTGAGCCACATCCCCAGCCCCGGTAGAAATATTTTAAAGAAGCAGTCAAGAATGAATTTTATAAGGATTTCCTATCAGACAATGGAAATAATTTGGAATTTTATTCCAGTTAGGATGGGAAATTAACTAGAATGGAAAGGTTTTGAGCAGAAGAATAATATGATCTGATGAAAGTTAAAAATCACCTGGCACTGGGCTATGGTTATGGCTCGCACATGTGAGGCACTGGGTTCAATCCTCAGCACCACATAAAAATAAACAAACAAAATAAAGATATTCTGTCCATGTAAAACAACAAAAAAATGTTAAAAAAAATTACCTGGCACCTATTTTGAGATAAGATAATCCAGAGAGATGAGTGTAACAGCAGAAACTACCACCAATTTATTGCAACAATCAGGAAAGAGATGATAGTAGTTTATATTAGGATGATAACAGTAGAGGGTTGATGAAGTATATTTTTAGATGTACAGCATACAGGATTTGCAGATGAATGAGAAATACAAGGTTAAATAAGAGGATCAAGAAAGGAAAACTGGGAGAGGAATCTATGTTCCATTTTACATGTTAGATTTAACACCTAGAAGACATACAAGTGGAGTTGCCTAAATAACTGCCTAGTAGTTCCCATATGAAAAAAATGGGGTTCATTTCTTGAACATATCTCATTGAAAACACTTTTTTTTCAGTCACACATTAAACATACATACAAGCCAGGCACAGTGGCACATGCCTGTAATCACAGTGGCTTGGGAGGATGAAACAATAGGATCCCAAGTTCAAAGCCAGGCTCAGCAATGGCAAGACACTAAGTAACTCAGTGAGACCCTGACTCTAAATAAAATACAAAATAGGGCTGGAGATGTGGCTCAGTGGTCGAGTGCCCCTGAATTCAATCCCCAGTACCAAAAGAAAAAAGAAAATGAAAATAGAAACACATATACATTGAGTAATGAGATCTTCAAAATAACAATATTAGTTAAAATAATATAACAGATAATTTTAACACAAGAGACATAGTTTTAATCTTCAATTTAGTGTGAAAAAATAGAAATATTCACAAGTGATTAAAATACATGCACTAAATCCTATTATGTGAGAAGTCTAAATTAGATTAAGAAATTTAGGTAAATATAAAAACTTGACTAGATGTTAAGAGTGTTCAAGAAATGAGGAAGAATAATCAGTAAAGTAATAGAGATTCAACTCATGAATGAACATAATCAAATAAATTATTTTAGCTAGCTCTCTACTATTAAATAAATCAAATTTTAACACCTTAAAATGAAGTTGTGGCTTTAAATATAACTTTAATTTAAAGAAACATTCATAAAACAATGCTGAATGCTAAAATGAAAGATTTCCAAAAAGTATTTCTAAACTTGAAAAAAGTAAATAAGACACTGAAACAGGCCAAAAAAATCTGTTAGGGATATATCCTAGAAGCTGAAACTTAAAAGAATGTATGAGTTGGAAGGCTGAAATGAATATTCCATACAACAGAAACCATATAAACAAATACTTAGAATTAGGAATTATTAAGACTTAGAGAAATGAATCATCCATTCAAAAATATTTACTATGCACTCATTTTATTAAAGGATTTGGGAATCAAAAATGAAGACAATGTCATCTGTCTTTAAAATGTCTACAAAACAGTGTGAAGAGGCTAGGGCTGTGGCTCAGTGGCAGCGCACTTGCCTGGCATGTGTGAAGCACTGGATTCAATTCTCAGCACTGCACACAAATAAATAAAGATCTATCAACAACTAAAAAATACATTAAAAAAAAACAGTGTGTGGGGCTGGGATTGTGGCTCAGCAGTAGAGCGCCCGCCTAGCACGTGGGTTCAATCCTCAGCACCACATAAAAATAAATAAATTAAATAAAGTTACTGTGTTCAACTATAACCAAAAAATAAATATTAAAAAAAACAGTGTGAAGTATGGATTATCAAAGAAATCATGATGTGTTAAAGATTTGAGTTACATCCAGACAGCTACAGAAATACACAGGATAGGTACCTAGACAGATTCCCTAGAGAAGGCTTTCTGAAAGATGTTGACAATTAAACTGAGACATGAAATTAACAGGAATTAACTAAACTGGGAGGAAGGAATAGGTCAGGGTTGGGGTTGAGAGACAGAAAATGGGAGAAAAGGTAAAACAGGGATTAAAGCATGTGCAAAGGCTAGAAAGAACAGACCATGTGGTGTGGGGAAATAGGGTGGGTAATTTGCCAGGGTATAACTTTTTAGGAGTGCATGGCAAGAGTGAAGACTAAAAAAATAAATAGAAACCACACCACGAAAGGATATGTAATACACTTTAAAGAGTGTGGGCTTTATCCTAAGAATGTCTCCTTGGCTGTACGAAAAGTCTCATAACACAAAAAAGGAAATTTAGGGGTTATTAATGATGGTGGAATGTGATGATCATTATTATCCAAAGTACAGGTATGAAGACAAAAATTGGTGTGAATATAGTGTGTATACAACCAGAGATATGAAAAATTGTGCTTTATATGTTTAAAAGAATTGTAATACATTACACACACACACACAAAAAAAAAAAAAAAAAAAAACTTTTAAAAAAGGAAGTTTAAAGTAGCAAGGAACCAGATTATCTAGAACAAGGGTTATAAGAAGAACTATCTTCAGAGACTAGATTAGTAATAAACTTTAAGTTAAGAGAAGCATGCATAAGAAAAAAACAGGAAATTATGAGAAAGGTAGAAACCAAGCCACAACTAAGTTTGGGCAAATTATTGCAGCGAACAAATGTAACTTAGTGTGCTAATCTTAAGAAGATAGAAATCTCTTGATGTTTTTGTAGGTTTCAAGAGAAATCTCTTTATGTTTTTATTTGTCTTTATTTTTGTCTTTGTTTTTCAGAACTTCGATTGAACCCAGGACCTCATGCACTCTACCACTGAGTCACATCCCAGGTATTCTTGATTTTTTCAATAATGGCAAATACATTTCTTCAAAACATGGCACAAGTCAACAATGATTGAGAGGACCAAACAAACAAGACTATAAGCCAAACTGGTATCACCAGATCTTGTAGAACCTCTAAGACAGAGTGGGATAGGAGAAGATTTAAACAGAGATGGATGCTCCTGAAGATTTAAACAGGGATGACAAGTAACTACAGCCTGACAAGGCACAGTGACCATTTTGTTCACTTCTGAGAAAGTAACTCAAATTTAACTGATCTCAGCAAATGTTTAGTAATGAAGTAAAAACTGGAATTTTCTGAAAATTAGTGTCATGACAGTAGATAAGAAAACTAATTTGCTCTTCTACCAGTTTTTAGTTTTGCTCACTCTCAGCTGCTAGCTAGCACATGCTGTCCAGCAGTCTGTCTATGCTACCTAGTGTCCTTTCTTTGGCTATATAACTGGCTGCAACTCACCAATGACCACTATAAGCAACTATCAGCTGTCATTTGGCTAAGGCAATGAAATTAAATAAAATGAATGCTCACAGTGAACAGGCAAAGAATATTCTTTGATTGACTTCAACTCCAAGCCAGAAACTCTAACATTAATTCCATACCCTACATTTTAAGATTATTATTAATGCTAAAATTGCTATCATATTGGGGATTACCAACAGACAAATGCTGCACTGACTGTGGTTGGCAATGCTTGACAACAATACTGGATATGCCTAGACAGCAGGATTCAGAAGGAATAATAGGGTAATATCTGAGATTCTGCTAGAATGGAGGTGGAGTAACAAGGAGGCAGGCTGAAAGACTGGAAACTCAGAACAGGTATAGAAATTAAGCAATAATTAAGATAACAAAACAGATGGCCCAACAAACTTCAAAATCTAAACATTTATATATCCAGAGTGCAACTAATCTCACAGGAGTAGCCAAGTGTGGTGGCATATTCCTGTACTCCCAATTACAGGGGAGACTGAGAAAGGAGAATCACTTGAGAGCCTAAAAGTTTGAGGCCAACCTAGATAAAATAGGGAGACCTCACCACAAAAAAAGAGAGAGAGAAAAAACTCACACTGTTTATAGAAATTCTTCACTTAAGAAACAGGGATAAATAGTATTAGAGGTTAAAAATTAATTTACCGAGAATAATACTCTTAAATGCCCCTTACCTTAAGAAAGATGAAACCAATAAGCTATCAAAATGTTAAGTCATATGTGTTATATCATAGGGCTCTTTTTTACAATATACTAACTTTCAAATAATATTTACCAGGGACAAAAGTAGAGAAAAATGAGTTGCTCTGAAAAGCATTTAGTAACTAGGGAAAGAAAACCCTATCCCCATAAAGCAAGAGTTGAATCTCATTTTTTAAAAAAGAAATCATCATGAAAGGAATCCTTCTGATTTGGAGGAATGACTTTAAACCAAGAGAGATTTATTATCCTGCTCCATTAGTGAATAATAATATATAATAATCCTACATTCTCTAGCTAAGGGAGGTTTGAGTCAAGATATTCTGATAAAAAGTAGAAGCCAATATTCCAAAAGCTTATACACTTCGCATAAAGAAACTAAGTAGACTAGATATCACAGACCACCTGATAGCACTTAAATGTGCTATCAAGTACAGAAACAGCACAATTTCAGATTACCAATGATCAACAGTAGAGGTGATACCCATGAACAGGTGTTCATGGATATATAAAGCATCTTTAATGAGAAGTTAATAGGCAAAAATAAAACCACATTTCTTTTTCAGACACTCTTAAATCTCTGTTGTATAATATAAAAACCAAGTGGGTACCGAGCACTTAAAACATGCCTGATCAATATCAGATGTGCTTTAGATGTAAAATACATCCCAGATTCAAAGATTTAGTATGAAATAAATATTGTAATATCTACTAATAACTGAAAGAATAACATTTTAGATACTTTGAGCTAAACAAATATAATACTAAAGATAATTTCACCTGAAATCAGTATGCAGGTTCCTCAAAGACTAGGCATGGAATCGCCATATGACCCAGCTATACCACTCCTTGGTACTTGCCCTAAAGAATTAAAGTCATCTTCTACAATGATACACACATATCCATGTTTACAGCAGTACAATTCACCACAGCCAAACTATGGAACCAGTCTAGGTATCCATGAACAGATGAATGGATAAAGAAAATGTGGTGTTTTATTCAGTCATGAAGAAAAAAGAAATTGTTGTTTGCAGGAAAATGGATGGAACTACAGATCAAATGTTAACTGAAATTGTTAGACTTAGCTAGTGAAGGTTCCTATGTTTTCTCTCATATGCAAAAGCTAGAGAAGAAAAAGGAAAAGAGAGATGGGGGCAGAACTCAGAAAATCAAAGGCCATCAGCAGAGAAAAAGGACCAAGGGGTGGGAGCCAGGAAAACGGGCAAAGTGCTGGGAAGTGATATTGGCAAATTATATTGCATGTACAAATATGTAAAACAAATTACATCATTATGTACAATTATAATGTATGAATAAAAAATGCAGGGAAATAAGGTAATTTCACCTGTTCCACTTTACCTTTTTAAATTACATACATGGCTCCCCCACCAAAGTTTTTGGCAGTACTGGGGATTGAACTCACACATGCTAGGCAAGCAAGCACTGTACTACTGAGCTACAACTCTAGTTGGAGTTTGCATTATATTTGTATTGGACAGTGCCACTCTGACCTAGCCATGTGAAGTCTTAAATGCATATGGCTATTTCAATACTTTTACTGAATTTAATATTGTTTGTTTCTTTAGTTAATATTAAGTTCCTCTTGAGTACATCTTAGATAAGTTGATTTTAAGGTAAAAACATCTTATCAGGCTGTCAAAAAAGAGAACGATCAAAATTTCTGGACAGAGACTTAAGTCAGCAGTGTTTTTTACAAGCACTGTTCACTATAATTTGTACAAATTTGTCCCTCCTTGACAACGTTCAGATACTTAAAATTGCCTTTTGGGGAGGATCTCACATACGCTAATTCCAATCCAATTTACCATTAAAGAAAATACAACTCTCTCCCTAAGATGAAATGAAATAATAGCACCACTCTTTATGAGATACCATGACAGATTTTAAAAGGATTTCTATTACTACAAACAAACTAGTATCATCTGGAAATAGTCCATGGTCCATCTGGAAACTTGAAAAGAATGTGGTTTTAGGATATTAAGACTTTCAGAAATAAAATACAGAACATAAGCAGTTTTATAAGACAACACTGACTGAAAGAGAATACAATAACACTGAGAACAAAAATTGTACTATCATGAGATTTTAAGAGTACTAGTTTTAAAAAAAAGTACTGGACTTAGTAAAATGAAATTAAAATGAACTTTTGATATTCAAAATTTCCTACAGATTAAAATATTACTCAAGTCAGAGTTCTTTCGCACAAAACAATTCAAGTTTTCATATACTGTTCTCATTCAAATTACCTTAGACTTGAAAACCACTGGAAGTAAATGGAACCCACAGAAGATACACCAAATAGTTTAAGGAAAATGTTGGTTAAGGTGCTAGTTAATTTGAGAGTAAAGTATAAAAGTTAAAAGTAAATAAAGTATGAAAGTTATTCATTCAAGCATCCAGAAGTCCCCTAACCACAAGGAATTACACTAAATTTTAGAGATAAAATGATGAACAAGCTATACATTACAGAGATTATTCTTTGGTAGTTTTGTAAAAGAACAGGAAGTGCCATCAATATTATTAATATCACTAAATATTATTGTTATTTAAACTATATATTATATATTTTGTGAATATTATATTTTATATAATCATTTAATATTATAATATTTAATGTAATTAAATATTATTAAAATTATATTGCCATCAATATTTCAGTGGCTGTTTCTCATGCCTCAAGTCAAGGTATTTCCTCTTCTATTTGTATTTGGAGGGAAAAGGCAGTGATAAGAGATACAGGGAAGAAGAAGGAAAGAGATCTGCACATAACAACTGAATTAAATAATTTTCCTTCTCTCTTTCCCTATAACTCTCTGAACTCCTTAAAGAGGGGATGAAACCTATTCATCTCCCTTTCCCTAGCACCTACCATTTATCTGCTGCTCATTCTCAGAACCAGGCTAGTCTATAAGTTATTGTGTCAGAGCCGGTGCTTTTTTTATTATTTTTTTTCAACTATAGACTAATATCAAAAATAAGGGGCTGGGACTGGGGCTCAGTGGTGGAGTGCTTGCCTAGCACGTGTGAGGCACTAGATTCTATCCTCAGCACCATACACTCAAAATAAATAAAATAAAGTTATTATTTAAAAAAATAAGAAGAATAAAACATAAGGGCAGGGGTTATAGCACAGTGGTAGAGCACTTACCTAGCACGTGTGAGGCACTAGGTTGCATCCTTAGCACCACATAAAAATAAAGTTATTGTGTCCATATACAACTAAAAACGTATTTAAAAAAAAAAAAAGCTATAACACATATTCTTTAAGGAAAAACACAGAGCCCACAGTTTTATTTCAACTACTATCACCAGATTCCCCTCACCTCCAAAACCCATTCGGAAGCAACCAATATCATGAGTGTGTTGTAATGACATCACACGGTACAATTTAACTTTTCCTTACATTTTTAAGAGGGCCCCTCCATATTCACACACACAAAAAGGTAACATGGCACAGTGAACTCTAAAATCAGGCAACTGAGGTTCAGATCCGAACTCTCACTTGTGGACGGCCTCTGGGTTCAATCACCAGTACCATACAGAAAAAAATTGGAGGTGGTAAAACCTTCACGAGGGGGCCAAGTGGAAGTAATTAGGTCACCAAGGATATCACCTCAGAAGGGATTAATGCTAGTCTCACAGTGTGAGTGTGTTCTCTCAAGAACAAGTTATTTAAGAAAAAAAAAAAAAAAGATCCTTCTGCATTCTCTGGCTGCTAATCATAAAATCTTATCTGCACATGCTCTGCCATTGTGATGTTATCCATCATGAGACCATAAGTAGAGCAGATGGGTACACTAAGTCATAGAAATTCAACCTCCAAAACTATGAGCTAAATAAAGCTCTTATCTTTATAAAGTACACAGCTTCAGGTATTTTATTACAGCAACAGAGAAGACTAGTACAGTTATTTATCTTTACATGCTTTAGTAGTTCCATATTTAAAAAGGAGATGATAATAGCACCTATTTCTCAGTTTTCATGTGGATTAAAAATATTGATGTACATAAAGTACTTAAAACAACAGTAGGCATAGAAAGTGTAATTTTTTTATTAAAATAATCATAAATGATAATGATCTAAACAGGTCTAGGCAATTTTTCACCGTACAATTATTCTATATATTATTTTTAAATGTCCTTATACTGAGAAACATTTACATTTTGTCTTCCAAATGAATACTCATATACAAATTTCCTAGAGAAAATATGCAAGTTTCAGTAGACTAATACCTTAACTAGCTGTTAATTGCAGGACACTGGGGTATACACATTTTCAACTACACAAAATCCCATTCTGAGCTTTGCAATTCTATAAATGAAAAC